TGGAACTACGGATTTTGTTCCTGCTTACAAATTCATTCATTATAGCTTCTAAATTAAGATTTTGTACGACATCTGAATGAATATGCAGAACAGCCGTATTGTATAACAAAATTGGAAGCATTGTAGAACATAGATAAGTTATTAATCTCTTAAGAGCCGAAAAAGATTTTTCTGCAGTGCAGGATGTTGCCGGGATTGTAATAAGCAGTTTTATCATTTTTGTGTATTCTGATATAATTTCTCTCACGGCTTTTTTCAAAAAATTAACGGCATCTGTTAAATTATAGATCTCTATTTTCTTGACCTCCATTATATTATAAGACATCGTTCGATGTAGTTTTAATTTACTCTCAAAATCAATTTTATATATTGTACAATAATAATGTGATCAATGTCACTTTCGTTTCGTCGATGGTCGTGAAAGAGGCAACCGCCTATCGAGTTATAAACACGTAACTTTTCATGTATAGTTTAATCAACTTTCACATTTTTATTAAAATATTAAATAATAAATTATTTCATCAAAAAAGAATTTTTACATTCTTCGGATTTCCAAGTGTAGAATTCCACACATGGAAAAATTTCGAATCGACCACACTCGACGCCCATGATGTTATCCCTTCCACCATGGTTATGACCATGACAAGTAGACATAGTGTGTTTTTCCGCACGTTTATCTGCTGCAACTAATCAAAGTTTGATTCTTTTTTCGTCATTTTTCGACAGATTTTGTTTCCATATATCTGCTATGATAGTAAAACTCAGTTTCACACATAATAAATATATCACTTATTTATAGTCAATAATTACTTAGTTATTACAAATTAATAAATAGTAAAACCCAGTCAATACATTAAACAAGCTATAGTTAAATGTACTAAATAATATTTATTAATCACAAATTACAATTTTTCGACGATAAGTTTCAACGGTATGTTTTGACTACAACGGTATGAAGACTATACTTAGTCTTCTCTCATCAGCCTTATTTATTACTTTTTTTACTATTATTTATTATTTTTCACTTAATATTTAATATATTTTTTAATCATTTCAAATCATATGACAACCGCGCAAATATATATTGTAAAATGGCGGAAAATGAGATGAGCGCGTTGCTATGCGCAAACTTGTCTTAGTTACACTATATCTACTTGCATTATGG